TTATGAATTGCAATGCAACCTATGCTCCCTGATGTATTTTAAGATTTCAAGAAATATTATTAGTCATATTTGTATAGCTTTTGGAAGTTAGGGATTNTGAAATAAAAATTCCACATCAAGTCGAACGGCAGTTCCAAGCTCACATATCTTAAATTTATCAAAAATGTTCTGAATAGAAGCCATTTTCATATTTCAGATGTCAAATGTTAAAAAGATGTCTCCTACAGAATTTACAGTAACATTAACTACAAACCACATAGCACCATTTGTATGGATTAATTCACGTGGTATATCTGGTCGTTTTTCTGATAATGGTTTTATAATGAAAGATCCTCAGCTACAGTTGACTTTTACATCCTGGCAACCAGTGGACTTAAAAACTTTTACTTATTCATTATCTGTACAATCATTAATGGATATTTACCATTAAAATATCAGAATAGACTTGTACTTAATTTTAAAAATTACCATTGAAATATTAAATTGTAACAGATACTAGTATTGCATTGTACACCATTATGTAACCATTAAAATAATACAGCTTTGTATTACTTATACCATTATATTTACCATTTAATAACCAACATTGAAACTACCAACAAATTACTCCGTAAAAAGTTATCTGTTACCTTCCTAAGGAAGATATACTATTTAAATTGGGGTGCTGTTGGCCTTCGTGGCTCTTAAAGGGGTGAAATATTCAACAACATCCTTAACGAAATTTTCATTTTTGAAAACGCACAGAAGACTAGAGGATACAGATAAAAGTTCCAAAAAGAAATAATATTATATAATATTATGTTGATATATATGACGTCAAACAATTAAAATACAGTTAATAATGCAATGACGTCACAAGTCAAGAAAGATTACTTTCTATAAGACGAGTTCACGAGTTTCTCTACAAAATTTGCAGAATTTTCTTGATAGAATTTAAAGGTATTGTATGGATTACGTATGTCCGTTATATTTATTTGTGATAAATATCAACTTTCCATATAAATTTTCACACCAGAGCAAGGAAATGCATTTATTTTTTTAGGATTTCGAAAAAAAGCTACCTATGTCTTGAATAAGGAAATGGACTAAATGGATTAATCGTAACAAAACATCTAAATATAGAAAGTGAAATGAGTAGTTTATGATATATTTGAAAGGATTATGCGATTTTCAAACATTTCTTGTACTCTTTTTGTCTTTTCATATTCAAGTCCGAAATCAACCCCCGAAAATGGCGAACAGTGGCTTTTTTAATCATAACAATAGACCTAATAATCTTCAGATACAGAATTTTTCCAGAATTATTCGAAGGTAAATTGTAATTTTCATGTGGAATTGTGTTTTTCCAGTTCCTGCTGTGCTTCCTCTGATGCTGAATTTCGTCCATTGCTCCTTCTATTGAATCTGTTTTGAACAAATTGGCAGAACATATGAATGCATAGACCAAACGAGGAAACAATGCGATTTTCTTAACATAAGAGTAGACTCTTGACTGTCAATGCTTTGTAATTAGAATCTCTACGTACACACTGTATCTGTCAAAATTTCTAGTTTGACAAGATCTCGGTTAATTTTGGATTTGGTTCTTTTTGACCACAAATAAAAAGTGCCATTTTTCCATGTTTAATCCCAATCTGTTCGCAAGTTGTACACAATTATTTCGTAAATTATTAAATTCAAAGTGGGTATGTCTCCTACTTAAAGAAAATAAAACTCTCCCTGTAAAGCTTGTAGCCTATTTTTTTTTCCAGGATGTTTCCAATACAATATGTGAAAGGACCCAGTCCACTTGATGTCTACTTAAACCAAATAGCAAGACAAATGGTGGACCATGCCTTTTCTAGTGCAGAAGAGACCCATCGTTCCATGTTGACAATGGACACAGACACTGAGACAGAAAATGTTGCTTTGAATTTGAAAGTACTCAATAAAGGTAACTTAAACTTTTTAGATCGTTCTGACTACTAACGTTACGGGGTTTTCTAAGCGTCGGTCGGGAAATTATAACGAAGCAAGGCTGAAAACACACTGGAAAGATTGTTAAAGCCAGTAAATTCACTATCCACTGCAATTTTCTATTTCCTTTGAGCACTGACTTGAACACAAACATATTGACGTATTGTAGGGTTCAAAACGAACTTTGCCTTCAATTCTAAAAATAGCGTCTAAATAATCGAGACTATAATTCGCACGTTTTCCGGTTTGTGGGAAAATACAGTTCTTTACGTTGGACCATTTCGTTTTTCGATGTTTTGCAATTAGGAATTCAGACTATGGAGAACAACAAATTTGGTAATGACTGTTTTATTGTATATTTTGTAACATTGTGTATGCATTTCATTGCTTTCGGATAGGTTTTTAGTTGTCAAATCTACCTTGCTTCGTGAGCCATAATAAGCCCTTTCGATTCGTTTTCATTCGCCTTCGTTCGTAACTTGCATTATTGGGATGTATAGTTCTATATTATATATGAGTACATTATTGGGGTGTATTTAGAGTACATTATTGGGATGTATTTAGAGTACATTATTGGGATGTATGTAGATTGCATTATTGGGATGTATGTAGATTGCATTATTGGGATGTATTTAGAGTACATTATTGGGATGTATGTAGATTGCATTATTGGGATGTTTAGATTTAGGCCTACTTCGTTCGCATTATTGGGATGCTTAGATTTACTTCGTTCGCATTATTGGGATGCTTAGATTTACTTCGTTCGCATTATTGGGATGCTTAGATTTACTTCGTTCGCATTATTGGGATGCTTAGATTTACTTCGTTCGCATTATAGGGATGCTTAGAATTACTTCGTTTCGCACCCGTTTTGTACTTTTTGGCTTTTGGTTGCATAGATTAATTGTGGTCTGGCTTGTTAGAATATTGTTATAAGAGGGTTGTCTCCCTTAAGTCAGATATGTTCATATCACTATTCGAAATATTTTATATATTTCAGTTAATCGCTTCATTTGTATATTCGCTTCGTTCGTCTTCTGTACTCCTGATTACTTCGATGTATATATAGGCCTAAGCCTATTTGGTTTTTACTGTTTGTGTTTTTAGTAAGAAAAGAAATTTATGAACTCTTGTATTTATTAGAAGCGCATGAACAATAATAACTCCATTGAACTATAGGCCAGTCGCACCAATTCCTATTGCAGGACTACATTATATTAACAAATTTGTTCGAAATGGAATCTGGAGGTGCGACATCTACCCCGTTGGATTCTGGTGGGACTGATACTAAAAATAAATCTGACAGTCTTAACAACGATTTCGATACTATGAGAATTGAATATGAAAAGGAAAGGTTAGATTTGATGAGACAGAAAGAAATTCTTCTAAAGAGACAAAGTCTGGCTCGTCAGCGTTTTGAACTGTCTCAACAGGAAGAACAGCCAGAACTAGAAACAGCTATTTCAATTGCCAGTGCAAAATCACTTGTGGTTGCAGACGAATTGCCGGACTCTATGATGGTTACTTTCGATAAATCAAACTCACCTGATGATACTTCTACTCATTTTGTGCCAAAGGTTGAAAATATTTCTCCTTTACCCATAGGATCTGATCTGAGGCCTAACAGGAACATTTCGCATGACACTCCTAGATCAAGACCGACTAGAAGAGAACATTCACCAGATTATTTTAGATCCAGAGCAACCAGAGAAATGTCCCCTGATTATGATAGACACCAATTTCGTGAAGACTATTCTAGTTCTAATAATATGAGTTCCTTTAAACTTTTGCAACATTTAAAACGTCCTTCTGTGGATATCAAGAAATTTGGAGGTACACCAACTGATTTTCCCAGATTTAAGAGACAATTTAAAACTCAAGTCTTGGAATATACATCAAATAACGACGAAAGGATGAATTACTTAGATCAATTTACGTATGGCCAACCACATGATATTGTTTCAGGATACGGATTTATGCCAGCCGATACTGGATTTCCTGCTGCTATGCAAGAACTAGCCGAGCGTTATGGCGACCCAGATGTTTTGGCACATGACTATATTTATCGTGCATTAAATTGGAAGGATATCAAAGCTAACAAACCTAGAGATCTTGATGAATTTGGTATATTTCTCTTCGAGGTACAAACTGCTATATGTAATATAGACTCACTGCGAACTATCGACTCTCAGGGAAATATTCAGACTCTGTTAAAAAAGTTACCCTTTGGAATGCATGAAAAGTGGCGCACATACATGCGTGGAATTAGATATTATAGAACAATTAGATTCAGTGACTTTGTTGAGTTTGTAAGAGGCGAAAGTAGGAAACAAATGGACCCAATATATGGAAGGGAAGTTTTAGGTACACGACCAGTCCGTTATGATAGTCATCAACAAAAACCAACAAAGATCTAATAAGAAATCTTATTCTGGTCATATTGACAATTGTGATTACTGTAAAAAGNGGTGGACATTCGTTTTCAGAATGCAAAACTTTGGAAAATTT